AAAAATGTTTTTCTAAATGACTAGCTGTGGAGTTGGACTGGTTGGCTCCCAAAGTCAAGCCAGAGTTGAGACTTCAAACCTGACGTATCCAAAGCCCTCTTATATGCAGCACTATTATATTGCATTTAACCTTTGGTTAAGTGATTCCTTTAGGATCTTTTCACCTCAGACATCACATGTTCTAAAGAAAGTGGTTTTGCTAGTTAACCTTTAATGTCTTTAAGAAATAGTGAGGATTTTTTTTCTAATATTTTGCTTTGCTTTGCAGCCTTAGGGTGGTCTCAGCCATGTGACGTCTGGAGTATAGGATGCATTCTAATTGAATACTATCTTGGGTTTACAGTATTTCCAGTAAGTGACAAAGATCTGTTTCAATGGCTTTGCATAAGAAAGGCACCTGTTTATGGAAATTAAAACTTTAATTCAAAGTATACATTTAACATAGCATTTTCCCCTCATATACTGATAATTGTAGATAAGAATAAAGAAATAAAAATATAACTATAATGTATGTTTCCTTTATAATTAAAACTGTTTTAAGTGTGTTGTAAGCACTTAACCCTCTCCATTTAGGGAAATCATTGGCAAGCTTGTTCTGTGTGCCTGAATAGTTTTTGCTATCAGCTATAACTTGCTAAAAAGTGTGCCTTTTTGGTAGTCACCTTCCTTGTGACTTTTAATCATATGTAGACTATAAAATTAACCACTGTGTTAAATGAGAATGAAGGACAATGTGATGTGTAAGCAGAGATAGTTAAGGGTTTTTTTAATTATTGTTTTATTTTAGACCCATGATAGTAAGGAGCACTTAGCAATGATGGAAAGGATTCTTGGACCGCTACCAAAACATATGATACAGAAAACCAGGTATGTTTTATTTAAGAGTCAGTGCTGTCCTTTAATACTTGGTCATGTGTTTTGATTAGAACTACTTTGTAAAACAAGCGAAGTCAAACTAATAATTCTCTTTCAATTAAATAGCAGATTAGTTGATGGGAAAGCCATAACTCAATTTCTATTCTTCATTACCTTTTTTTTTTTTTTTTTTTTTGAGACAGAGTCTCACTTTGTTGCCCAGGCTACAGTGAGTGCCGTGGCATTAGCCTGGCTCACAGCAACCTCAATCTCCGGGGCTCAGCGATCCTACTGCCTCAGCCTCCCGAGTAGCTGGGACTACAGGCATGCACCACCATGCCCGGCTAATTTTTTGTATATATATTTTTAGTTGGTCAATTAATTTATTTCTATTTTTGGTAGAGACGGGGTCTCGCTCAGGCTGGTTTCGAACTCCTGACCTTGAGCAATCCACCCGTCTCGGCCTCCCAAAGTGCTAGGATTACAGGCGTGAGCCACCACGCCCGGCCTCTTCATTACCTTTTAAATCTCTAGAAAAGCATTAATCTTTGATCTATACAAGCATAGTGATTGATGCGACCATTCACCTTTGCTTGATGTTTTAAATTTTACGCGTTATAAACATACGTGGATATGACTTATTTTTAGGAAACGTAAATATTTCCATCATGATCGATTAGACTGGGATGAGCACAGTTCTGCTGGCAGATACGTTTCAAGGCGCTGCAAACCTCTGAAGGTAAGTCGGGGCTGTATATAGCTAATGATCAAAACCTTGAGTTTCTCTTCTGTTTTTACGGTTGTGAAGCAAAATATAATAAATGATACTAGAAAAGGCTGTTGACTGTATTTGTATTTTTCTTTTAGGAGTTTATGCTTTCTCAGGATGCTGAACATGAACTTCTCTTTGACCTCATTCAGAAGATGTTGGAGTATGATCCAACCAAAAGAATTACTCTCAGAGAAGCCTTAAAGCATCCTTTCTTTGACCCCTTGAAAAAAAATCTATAGATCTACAATTGTGTACAGCTCTTGAAGAGATCTTACAGACTGCATCAGTCTAATTTTTAAATATTAAGTTATTTTGTATAGCTTTGTAAATTTCTTAACATTTTTATATCATTGCCATGTTTATTTTGTTTGGATAATTTGATTTAAGTACATAGCTGAGTAAAGTAATAAACTTCTTTTTCAGTAATTATAAAATGATTTAATCAGAATAAACTTTGTGCTTATGCGATTTATATGAATCTGTACAATTGGTTTTTAGCACCATTTTCTTTCCACATCTATCACTATAAAGAATGGACATACCTCTCTAGCCAGGAATCTGTTGTTTTTTTCTTCTGCCAGCTTCCTATGATTGTACTGCTACTGCCACCCTCCCCATGGGGGTAGGGAAGGAACCAGGTGCAAGGCCCCACCTGCTCCACTTTTTCTACCTTGGAACTGTACCAGATAAAATCATTTCTGTTGTTCAGTTTAAAAAAAAAAAAAAAAGAATGGACATAGATTTCTTTCTTTTTGGTTTCCCAAGTCTTTGAAAATATTTAGCTTTATTTCCATTTTAAGGATTGTTAAAATTGGGACTGAAGCCTGCTTTCTCTAAGTTTAATGAAATAAAACCAAATTATAGAACACAACTAGAAATTAGCCGAGAAGGGTTTATTATTCCCTTTGTTCCTGCTCAAGTTCAATACTGCTATTTGCTGGTCTCCACTTGAGTAGGATTATGCAAATGTTAGGTTTTGTGCTCCTCAGAGCTTAGGTGTTGATCAGTGAAACCAATTTGCTGGTGAGTACATGTGGTGCATATTTTTCCATTCTTGGGATACTTAGTAGAAAGTGAAGTATCTAGCTCTATCCAGGAAAATACAAGAGGTGCTATATCACCATTGTTTCTTATGACTGAGTACTACTACATGGTATACATATACCACATTTTATTAATCTACTCAGGTATTGATGGGCACTTGGGTTGTTTCCACTTTTGTCAGTGTTGTTGTTTTTTTTTTTGGAGACAAAGTCTCACTTTGTTGCTAGAGTGAGTGCCGTGGCATCAGCCTAGCTCACAGCAACCTCAAACTCCTGGGCTCAAGCCATCCTGCTGCCTCAGCCTCCCAAGTAGCTGGGACTACAGGCCCATGCCACCATGCCCGGCTAATTTTGTCTATATATATTAGTTGGCCAATTAATTTCTTTCTATTTATAGTAGAGATGGGGTCTCGCTCTTGCTCAGGCTGGTTTCGAACTCCTGACCTTGAACCATCCACCCGCCTCAGTCTCCCAGAGTGCTAGGATTACAGGTGTGAGCCACAGCGCCTGGCCCTTTGTCAGTGTTCTTATCTGCTTGATCCATTTGGGATCACGTCTCTCCACATTTTAAGATTTGGGTTTTTGGTGCCTCCCTCCCACCCCCTACCCCCCAAATTTAAAAATGCAACTAAGTCTGAGAGATTTTAAGGAGATTTTTTTTTTTGAGACAGAACAAAGTCTCACTCTTTTGCCCAAGCTAGAGTGTCATGGCATCAGCATAGCTTACAGCAACCTCAAACTCCTGGGCTCAAGCAATCCTTCTTTCTGCCTCAGCCTCCCGAGTAGCTGGGACTACAGGCATGCGCCACCATGCCCAGATAATTTTTTCTATATGTTTTTAGTTGTCCAGCTAATTTCTTTCTATTTTTAGTAGACACGGGGTCTTGCTCTTCCTCAGGTTGGTCTTGAACCCCTGAGCTCAAACATTCCACCCACCTCAGCCTCCCAGAGTGCTAGGATTACAGGCGTGAGCCACTGCACCCAGCCTAGTTGGCCAGTTTCTGTTTTTAGTAGAGTTTGGGTCTTGCTGTTGCTCAGGCTGGTTTCGAACTCCTGATCCTGAAGGATCCTTTGCCTCAACCTCCCAGAGTGCTAGGATTGCAGGTGTGAGCCACCGTGCACCGGCCCTTCCTAGAGATTCTTAGATGAGGATCCTAATTGCTGAGCCAGAGTGGCTAGATTTAAATCCTAGCCCTTAGCAGCATGACATTTGAAACATCATTTAATTTTTCTGTGCTTGTCTGTATCATCTGTAAAAGGAAGATTATAGTATTTGCTTCAGGCTTATGAGTATAAATTAGTAATATTTGAAAAGCATAGTTGAAACAGTGGCCTGTATTTTAAATAAGCTATTTTGGGAGAAAGGCATGTATGTCCTGACTCTGGTACTTCACATAATGTTCTTTGGTGTCCCATGCAATCATTTTTTTTTCTTTCTCTGTGTTACCCAGGCAGGGCTCCTCAACTCCAGGGTCCCAGCGATCCTCTTGCTTCAGCCTTCCAAATAGCTGGGACTACAGGCACAATTCACACCCAGCTGCAATTGTCTTTTAATCATCCTACTCAAAAAAATTAATACATTAGGGTTTCCTGTGCAGAATATTTTTCTGGAATTTTTTTTTAGGAGTAAGCCCTATGTTAGTGACATTTCCAGTCCATGTAAAATAACTTCTAAGCTGCCTTAAATTCTTTGCTGAACATCTGGGAATCAAAAGTACATTGAGTTGAACTCAATCATCTTCTTCATCTGCTGAAATGAAAAAGGAATAAATAAAAGGAAAGGAAGTACATTGGGGCTGGTTGTGGTGGCTTGAGCCTGTAATCCCAGCACTTTGGGAGAATGAGGCTGGAGAATTGCTTGAGGCCAGGAGTTCAAGACCAGCCTAGGCAAAATAGCAAGACTCTACAAAAAAATAGGAAAAAAATTTAGCTGGGCATAGTCATGCCCATCTGTATTTCCAGCTACACAGGAGGCTGAGACAGGGGGATTGCTTGAGCTCAGGAGTTTTTGTTTTTTTTAAATTGGAAATATTAAAATGGTTTAATGACTCATAAAACTTTGACAGATTGTACTATCTTTTATGAGGCATTTATTCTTTGTTATTTATGTATATGTGAAAGAAACAACATACTTGTGTTTTCTGTTCCCCATTTCAGAGGGAGATTATGAAGAGAGGGTCTAAACTATAAGTCAAAACCCACCTTGCATAGAAATGAAATACAAAGAGAACTAAATTTGTACACAGTTGTGCCATAAGAGCATAGGTGGCTTAGCTCGTATTTTGGGCATGAAGTAATTTAGTTCATCTCACAGGAAACAAAAGCAGGTTCTGATCATGAAAACTCCAATTAATTATTTTTAGCATGCCTCTTAATTTTTCTCTCCCCTGGCTTCTTATCTTCTGTGCCTGAGTCTTGAACAGGTAATCACTTGAGAGGATGTCACTGATAGATGGGCCAGGGAGGAAGTGTCAGCAAACACAAAAATGCAAATCCGGCCATAACTATATAGACAGTCCACCTGAACTGTTCAGCCACGTACCCGTAGATAAATCTAATTATTGCAGAAAAAAGAATAATTCCCTGAAACATCTGTTCAGCTAGCTTCTGGCCCTTGTAGTCCATCTGCGTGGGCAGCGAGCTCAGATGCTCCAGCATGGCTAGCCGAGGAGGCAGGCAGTAGAGGGCAGGTGGCAAGGCTGCAGGGTGAGGGTGACTGAGCGAGCTCAGGAGTTTTGAGGTTACAATGAGCTACAGTGATGCCACTGCAATGTAGCTGGTACAACAGAGCAAGACCCTGTCTCAACAAAAACTGCATTGGTTGCATGTTTGAAAGTAAATGTATTAGATTGGATGACCTAAAGGCCTATATTATTTTCTTAGATTTATAAGTAAGGCAGTTCAGGCTTTGAGGCTTGTCATTCCTCAGGAATGGTGTCCAGAGCAAAGTTGTGCTAACATCCCATTTGTCAAAGTCACATGACAGGTCCCAGAATCAGTATGGTAGGGTACTGCAAGGTTGCATGGCAAAAGGGGTGGAAAACTTGGGTTATCAGTGCAATCTACCCCCAATCTATTAACACAGCAGCCAGGGTGAGTTTGTTAAAATAATCACATCACTCTTAAAATCCAATGGCTTCCATGTCAGTTTTACCAAAGTCCCTACAGTTGCCTTTACAGGGCTTTACAATTTCTGCTGTGCCACTCCACTTTTCTCATCACATGACCAGCTACTTTTCCCTCAGATGCAGTGTGTGGCCTCACTGGCCTCCATTCTCAAGCCCACCAAGTATAGCCAGGTGTGGCTGGTGCCTGTAATCCAGCACTTTGGGAGGCTGAGGCAGGAGGATGGCTTCGGGCCAGGAATTCAAGACCAGCCTTGGCAATATAGTGGGACCATATCTCTAAATCGCAACAACTTCCCTTGTCAACTTCATCTATATCCCTTTTGTTCTTTTTCTTCATGGGAGTTTTTACTATTTTAACATATTTTCCTTTTTAAATTTATTTTTTACACCTTTAAAAGGTGAACTCCAAGACAACAAGAAATGTCACTTTGCTCTTTTTGTTTTGTTTTAAGTTTTTAATTTTATACTCTTTTTGTGTGTGTTCCCTGACCAGAAACGATCACAACATGTCACTTTGTTTACTGTGTATCCCAAGAGCCTATAATTGACCTGGTAGATAGAAATCTCAGTAAATGCTTGTTGAATGAATGGATAATGACCTTTTATTTTGAGCAGGGTTGTTAAATGAGTGATCCATGTAGATAATCCAAAAGATTATGCAGAGAGAACAGTAACTGTGAAGCCTCTGAGGCAGATGCATACTAGTATGTTCAAGGAACAGTAAGGAGACAAGTGTGGCTGAAGCCAAGTGGGTGTTGAAAAGTGTTGGGAAATGTTAACCACTTCGGTACCAGCGTCAATTATAGTCGATAGCCACAGATGAATGTGCACAATGACTGTAGCCGACAGCCATGATATGAAGGCGCACAGCCGGGTGTCTTTAGCAGACAGCTGTGATATGACTTTTCTAATTTTTCATTTATCAAAATAAAATTGTGGGCCAGGTGCGGTGGCTCATGCCTGTAATCCTAGCACTCTGGGAGGCCGAGGCGGGCGGATTGCTCGAAACCAGCCTGAGCAAGAGCGAGACCCTGTCTCTACTAAAAATAGAAATAAATTGATTGGCCAACTAATATATATAGAAAAAATTAGCCGGGCATGGTGGCACATGCCTGTAGTCCCAGCTACTCGGGAGGCTGAGGCATCAGGATGGCTTGAGCCCAGGAGTTTGAGGTTGCTGTGAGCTAGGCTGACACCACGGCACTCACTCTAGCCTGGGCAACAAAGCGAGACTCTGTCTCAAAAATAAATAAATAAAATTGTGAAATTAAAAATAACGTAATGAAAACATATATGTATATGTTATCTATGCTGATTTACATTACAAGTAAAGCTGCCTGTAAAGTAAAACAAGCTTTCAGTGCTTTAAAGCTTTCCTCATCACACAAGAGCAAAACGGATTCGTTGTCAATGCACAGCACAAACTATTGTGCGGACTATGCGTGCCGGCTGTGGGCAAGGTTTCGCGGCCGGTGAGCGCTGTACCATCGTGGTTAAAGGCATCCAGGGGCCAGATCATAGGGCTTTGTAGGTGATTCCATGAGATAGGAAGTCACTGCTCCACATAGTGGCAAGAATGATTGCCAGCAGCCCCTGGCTTATATGCTTCCACTAGAAGAAAGAAAATTGCCTTCCTTTCACAAGTCACAGAAAAAGATTCCCAGAAAAGTGGTGATATTTTAGATTTGCTTCCCCAAAATCCAGGGGTTTGAGGGAAGTCGGCAGGAAATATGGACAAAATAAGATTGGCCATGAGATGATAATAGATGAAACTGAGTTGATCAATCAGGGTTCATTGTATTTTTTTCTTGTATTTTTTAAATTTTCCATGAGAAAGTTAAAAATCCACTTAAAAAAATCTTTCTCTGAAGTTGGTTAAAGAAATAAAAAGAAAGATACAGAGCCAACTGAAAACTCAATGTAAACAGTAAAATGAAACTTAAGCTTAACCAATCAGAAACCACCAACTAACCTCCCACTAGAGACTTTCCATTTTAACCAACTGGATATTTCCTTTGTCTTGCTTCTGTAAACACTCTGTAAGTTTCCCCCTTGTACTCTTAGTTCATTTCCTGTTGCTGTGACAACTCTGGGTAATTGAGACTTGGTAATTGATAAAGAAAAGAGATGTATTTCTTATAGTTCTGGAGGCTGGAAAGTCCAAGATCAGGCAGCCAAATCTGTTTGGCTTCTGGGGAGGCCCTCGTGCTGTGTCATAAAGTGGCAGAAGGCATCACAGGGCGAGTGAGGTGCACTGAGAGCCAAACTGGCTTTTAGAATAGGCCCACACTTGTGATAACTAGCCCATTCCCATGATAAACTATTAATTCATTAATCCATTAATTCAAGAGCTTCATCACCTCTTAAAGGGCCCACCTCTCAATACTGCCACACTGGGGATTAAATTTCAACATGAGTTTTGGAGGGGATGAACATTCAAACCATAGCCCCCTCAGTGGAGCTCTGAACCACTTGTAGTCAAATGCTACCCAATTCATGAACCACTGTCTGTTCAAATAAACACATTAAAATTGTGGCCGGGCGCGGTGGCTGACGCTTGTAATCCTAGCACTCTGGGAGGCCGAGGCAGGAGGATTGCTGGAGGTCAGGAGTTCGAAACCAGCCTGAGCAAGAGTGAGACCCCGTCTCTACTATATATAGAAAGAAATTAATTGGCCAACTAATATATAGAGAAAAAATTAGGTGGGCATGGTGGCACATGCCTGTAGTCCCAGCTACTCGGGAGGCTGAGGCAGTAGGATTGCTTGAGCCCAGGAGATTGAGGTTGCTGTGAGCTAGGCTGACGCCACGGCACTCACACTAGCCTAGGCAAGAAAGCAAGACTCTGTCTCAAAAAAAAAAAAAAAAATGTAATGTGCCTAAGTTTATCTTTTAACACCACTGTGGGTAATTGTTTAATTAATACCACTGAGAAACTCTGGGAACCAGTATAGAACTTTCTTTTTTTTTTTTTTTTTGGGACAGAGGTCTTACTATGTTGCCCAGGCAGGGCTCAAATTCTTGGGCTCAAGTGATCCTACCACTGCAGCCTCCCAAGTTCTGGGACTACAGGCATAACTACTGTGCTCAGCTTTCAGTACACGTGTCTTAAAGCTTTTCCACCTGAGGGGCCAGGGATACAGACTACTTATACACCAATTCCTGTCAGTCGCTGATTTAGGCTGCTCTGAATCAACACCAGGGAATGTTAATCCTCGGCACTGCTGGACGACGTCGAGTTCTGGTAGAGTGGGCTCTCGCTGCCAAGGAAAGCCCTCAGGCAAAAAGACACAGGTGTTGCCTGGAGAACTTGGACCTGGATGTTCTGTCAAGGTAAGGAAGGCCGGAGGAGATCATAGCGGACACCAGCAATGTCTGCCACGGGCCACTCCTGGCACCTCTGAAATCCACTCAGGCTCTACCGTAACTTTACTCCATCCTGTCATTGCTTCCTCTAGGTGGTTGCTGGTCATAATTTTAAAAATAAAAGAATTTATAACAGGAGGATAAATAGAATAAGCTGTAACATCCCTACTGCTGTAGTTGGTCCCAAGGTCAATGGTGACAACACCTCCCCTCCACTACACACTATAGATTCTTGCCGTACTGGTCTAAAAGCTGGCCCCTGATGGAGTACTATGATACTGTAATATAACAGGAAATATGTATTTGATCTTTGGCCCCAGTTCCCGGCACAGAGCTCCTAAAACCCTTGAAATTTCCTGGATGATAAGAAGCGGGATAAGGGGGAGATAAAGGTGAAAGATGCACTTTTTGTTATTCATAACACACCCCTTTCAGATACACCTGAGTTTATGTTCATTAGGTGAATTTTGGAAAGCCTCAAAGCACTGGGGGAGAGAGGGGCTGGTTTGTTGCCAGGGTGACAAGCCATGTGATTTGAGGGCTGGAACTTTCAGGCCCACCTCCCTGATCTCAGGTGGAGACAGGGCCTGGAAATTGACTTAACCACCAATGGTCAATGCTTTAATCCATCATGCTCATGCAGTGACACCTCTGTAAAACCCCAATAATGGGCTGGGCGCGGTGGCTCACGCCTGTAATCCTAGCACTCTGGGAGGCCGAGGTGGGCAGATTGCTCTAGGTCAGGAGTTCAAAACCAGCCTGAGCAAGAACAAGATCCCATCTCTACTATACATAGAAAGAAATTAATTGGCCAACTAATATATATAGAAAAAATTAGCCGGGCACAGTGGCGCATGCCTGTAGTCCCAGCTACTCGGGAGGCTGAGGCAATAGGATTGCTTGAGCCCAGGAGACTGAGGTTGCTGTGAGCTAGGCCGACGCCACGGCACTCACTTTAGCCTGGACAACAGAGTGAGACTCTGTCTCAAAAAAAAAAAAAAAAACAAAACCAATAATGGGCTTCTGAGACCTTCTGGGCTGGTGAACACATGGCAGTACCAAGAGGGTGGTGCCTGGAGAGGAACTTGCACGCCCCACGCCTTGCCCTGCGCAGCTCTTGCGTCTGGCTGTGCCTAAGTTGTGTCCTTTCTAATAAACTGGTACTCTACTCGGTAAGCTGTTTTCCCGAGTCCTGTGAGCCATTCTACCAAATTACTGAACCCAAATAGGGAGTCGTGGGAACTACAAACCT